GTTTTCATCACAAATCCAAAACATGGCATTATGGGAGCTACTATGAAGAAAATTACCTCAACCAAACCAAGACAAAACCTCAATCTTTGAATTTGATAAGCCCTCAAACAGACTGAATAGGCAGAGTACTTGGTAGCTGCAGAGCTGCAGTGAGGCTTAGCTCAAATAAAGGCATGGCATGCCTTTATTTAACTGGGGAGGTTGAGCTGCATATGTCAAAGTTGTTACTGATTCTGACAAAGAGACAAGAATCAATGTGACATTTAGTCAAATTCTGGCTTGAGTATTTTTAAATAGAAGATGTTTTGGGTTGAAAACCCAAAAAGGAATATTAGCATAAGGATAAAAACAGCTCAGTAGATCTGAAAAGGTCATACATTTTGGCCTTAAAAAAAAAAAAAAAAAAAAAAAAAAAAAAAAAAGAGTAGAGCAGAACAAGGGTAATAATAGAATATAGTGTTTTTTCAGGGTCTATATTCCATTTTTAGAGTATGGATGGTTAGCAATTCTACATCACAGACTTACAGCTTCTACATTTAAAAGTTTTGTTCACAAACGTAAGAAGAAAATTAATGGAGATCTTGTAGAACTCACAAGTACATAATGGTAGCCTTTAGGGGTCATGAGGAAGGCAAAACCCAACAAAGCAGATCACGGTGCGCCATGAGCTTTGTCCTTACACAAGACTTGCATTTGGGTAAGGATATACGATATGTCTGAGCTGGCAATTCTTTCTGATTGCCACTAAACTCTTCCCTTAAGGACAGACAACTTTGTTATTTGTAATTTAATTAGTTCTTCCAGTATATTAGTAGCCTCACTTGTCATAGTGTGCTGAGTGAAGTTTTCACTGATGAGTTGAAGACTTTTTAATAGCTAAAAACTGCGAGTTAAAGTTTTCATTTATCGTTATTCCAAAGGCCAAAGAAATATGATTTGCGTGACAAATTTTCTTGATGGTTTTGTAGGGCTGTTCTTGGGAAACTTTGTTCTTTGAAGTAATATGCACAGGTTTCTGTAGCAAAATATTTTGCATCATATTTACCCATTTTGGAAACATTTTCTCTGCAGGAAAGTTACATTTAATAAGTTCTCTTTATTCTGAACTTGCATTTTGTGGTGTTTTTCAGTAAATGAAATCCTGTTTAAAGTCATTATGAGTTCTATCAGAGGAAAAACTCATTTTAACTTTCCAGATTATTATTTTCCTAAGTAGATCAATAAATTTTAAGATTTTCATATTTCTCCTAACAGTCCCCAGCTGAGACATTTGAGTGCTTATACTTGGCTGAAAAGGTAGACCTAAGCCAAGTAACAGAAGCACAACTGCTTGTGTACATTCCCCTCTGGTGGTAACTAGCACACACTGCAGAAATCAGTAAGTTGTGCCAAACCGGGTAAGATTAACTGGAAATAATTCTTTTTTAAAAAAAAAAAAAAACAAAAAAAAAAAAAACAAAAAACTCCTTATTTTTCAATTGTAAGGGTTGAAATATTTTGAAACTGTGAACTCATTTAAACATTCTTCAGCAGTAGTTAACTTGTCTGCTTAACTTTATATTACTGCTATTTATTTTCTATATTGCACCAGCTCTTTTGCCAAGATCAAGGTTCTTTTCCTTTGGCAATACATACTTCAGCAGTATTTCTGAGCTGCTTCTTCCCACACACAAATGGCATTAAATTACAGTACCTAAAACTGCCCAGTAGGGATTTTCAAAGAAACAAAATAAAACTTTTAAGGCAGAGAAAAGTAGCTAGATGAAAAGCTGTTGAGAAGGGAAATGAAAAATTGTTTTTCATTTTTTTTTTTTTTTTGTTTATGCATATTTATAAAAGATCAGTGAACGGAAAAATCCTGAAAGCTTATCAAATAACTGATGAAGGAACTGAGGATGTTACAGGCCAGTGGGGATTGTGGCTTGCACACCAACCTCAGGAGTGTAGCTGATAGGACAGAAAGAAGGGATGCCATCAAAAGGAACCTGGACAAACTTGAAAAGTGGGCCCATGTAAACCTAATGAGGCTCAACAATTTTAAGTGCAAGGTGCTTCAGCTGGGGCAGACACAATTACAGTCTGAAAAAAACAACTCATTTAGATCTAAAAGGACTGCTAAAAAGGACTTAGGAAATCTGGTGAACGAAAAGCTAGAATTGAGCGTGCAGAGTGTGCTTGCAGCCCAGAAGGACAACAGTATCCTGGGACAGAAAGAGATGTGGCCAGCAGGGACAGGGAGGACATCCTCTCCCTCACTGCCCTAGTGAGGCTCCATCTGGAGTACTGCATCCAGGTCTCGAGCCCTTAGTACAAGAAGGATACAGAGCTGTTGTAGCAAGTACACAGGAGTCCAGAAGGATGATCAAAGGGGTGGAATAACTCTCATATGAAGAAGGGCTGAGGGAGTTGGGCTTGGTCAGCTTGAAGAAGAGAAGGCTTGAGGGAGACCTCACTGCAGCATTACAGTACTTAAAGAGAATTTATAGTCAGGAAGGAGATCAACTTTTTACCTGGGCAGATAGTTACAGGGCACGTGGGAATGCTTTTAAAATAGAAGAGGGGAGATTTATATTAAATGTAATTGGGAATTTTTTCACTCAGAGAGTGATGAGGCACTGGCATAAGCTGCCCAGAGAAGCTGTGAATGCCCATCCCTGGAGATGTTCAAGTCCGGGTTGGATGGGTCTCTCAACAGCCTGATCTGGGGGTTAGCAACCCTGTCCACAGCAGGGAGCTGGAACTTCTAGATCTTCAAGGTCTCTTCTTATCCAAGCTATTCTATGATTCAATGATCTTATGATTTTATGATCCACAACAACAAGAGAATAAAAAACCTGAGTACTGCTCAATTCAGTAAAATTAAGAAAATTTAGCTTTCTCACAGTATTCCTTATATTCTTAGAGGTGACAAGAATTCAGTAAGGATTTTTTTCAATAATTAAGTAAGGACAACTATATATAGCTAGGAAATAATGCCTTGAAAAAAATCTGTCAGTAATTTTTGCATCTCACAGAATGAGCAGTGATCAACTGGAAGGTTTCTTTGAGTATTATTTAGATAAGAAAAGTGAAAGCATTTGCATGCTGGTAAGGTTAGGTGCATCTGCAGATCTGGCAGAGGCTTGGACTGCCTCAACACTCAAGGGCATTTAAACACACTTTAATCTGCTGAAAGAGCATACTGTAACCTGAAATAAAAAAAAAAAAAAAAAAAGAAAGAAAGAAAAAAAAAAGGACTTCAGCAGAGGAAAAAGCCATAGAAAATACATCAATACATTGACAAGTGAAGGCAAGGATATACATTCACAGGAAATGCCACTGCGGAAAGCCTCACAAGACAACCACACCTTCCTAATTTAAAGGGCTAAGAAAAGCAAACTTACATGTTCATTCTTTTCAAGAAGGATGAAATTTATAGGCAACTAAAACCATTATTTTAAAATTAACTTGCAGCTCTAGTACTTTACTTTCTTAACCACATGGCTGTTAATCCATATGTAAATATACAGCTTGTGCATAGGTAACACAAGGGACAGAGCCAAATCAGGGTTTTTCAAGAAATCTTTCTTTACTCTAACTGTGAATCTAACTCCAACAGCATTAATCTGACTACAGAGAGTCCCAGCCCTGATAATGTGCTGCTTTATTCTTGTATATACATTTTACTGCAGATCCTCTGGCCTGTCCCTAGACCCTGAAATTCTCTTAGAATTTTGTTCAGAGAGAGCAGAGATGCTACAGCCAGAATGATGATAATGCCTTAGTAATTTCCTACCATATCCATAGTTCTTCAGTATTGTGCCAGTCATCAAGATTTATAACACTACAGGCATTCACTGTCTTGTTCAAATTTATTTACACATATACCATATTTCTACTAATAGTCTCTCCATTGTGTAAAATTCCTACCATTTTTCCTTGTGGGAAGCAGCTGTATATACAATCCAGCTCTTCTATTTCCTCCTTTTAATCAAAGCTTTTTCTTCTGTTTTTCATTCAAAATATCAGCTTCCAAAATAATTTTTTCTGTAACGGGCAGAAAAAAAAAAGTGTATGAACACCATTTAGATGGTAGTAGATAGTGTTAGTCAGTCCCTCAACTTATACAAGCCAAACACATTTAATTGGTAGAACGAGTTGGATGTGCTGAGGTACTAAGTTGCCTGTGTCCATTGCTTCATTCTTTATTTTAGGTTTCCAGAAAAATTAAAAGACTACTGTCTTCTGTCATTAAAAGACTACTGTCTTCTGTTCATTATTACTTCCTCATCACATTTTCATTATCCCTTTGTTATAATTGCTTGGCTCAAAATGCAGTCTCACACACTGAGGCAACAGAATTTATTTGCTTTTAGTACAATCCTTGAATATCTTTGGCACTGAGCCTATGCAAAACATAACTAAGGTCTTAGCTACCTGAAGGCATAAAAATTCAATTTGAAATACATCCAGATTCTTTTTTTTTTGGAGGGAAATAGCAGGCAATATCACTGGGGAGAATTAGTTTACCTATCATCTTTCCAGACGTTTCCCTTTCCTTCTCAGAGATTTCTCCCTTAGATACAAGGTAATGGTCTGACAGGCAGCTAGTACAAAAGCTCAACAAAACTACCTCACTGCATCAAGTCCCCCAAATTGACATACCTTCCTCTTCCTCTTGTTTGTAATCTTTCAGGAGTACAGATTGGAATTTGGATTTGGAGCACTGCTCTGAAACTAAAACTATTTAGCTAAACTGTCCTCATTTGTGATAAAAAGTCTAGAATAGTGCTTTAGTGACTCTCAGGATAATTTTTCTGTTTTCCTTTATTACTGTTCTTAATTTAAGAGCGTGGAGTTGAACACAGTAATCAACTTTTCCAGCTTCGAGCTCTAATCCCAAAAATCCAAGGAGACACTCTAACAACAGCTTAAGAAAAAGCCATAGGGAACAATCTTCCCAGAGTGAGGTGAAATGAGCAAAACAGTCTAAAAAGGGTTGTATTTTCTTTTAATTACAGCTGCAAAAAAACAGTTGCAACCATGTGATCCTTCATGTAGGACCTGTGACAAATCTGCTGACAGGTGCACTTCATGTCCAGAAGGTAAGAGACTTAAGCTTCTTTGAGTAAGATTTGCAAAAGACAAAATATACTGTATGTTACATACTTCAATGGAATATTTGCAATCATGATCACTAGAAAGTCCATTAGCAGCTTAAGGCACAGTCTGGTAAATCAACAGCTGAAGAGAGACATCAGCTAGGATCTAATCACATGCCCTTATAAATAAGGGTGGTTGTTGCTCCTTTTATTTCTCTTCAGCCAAAATTTGTAGACATGATGAAGGTATTACTGAAGAGGGCTTTATTCAGAGAGATGTACTAAATAAACCTGATGATTCTTTCTAACCTTAAATTTTGGTGAAGTTTTTGAATTACTACATTTCCCAGCTACTTCAAGAAAATGTTTAAAGAATGTTTTATTCATGCTTTCAGGCATCAGAAAGTCAGACTTCCATGAAGATGAAAGCATTTTTGTAGCCACCAAAGGCAAATCTTTTGGATATATTTCTAATTGGTGCTTATTGCCACTTGGGTTTCTGTTTTGCTAGGAAAATTTCTTGCCCACAATACATGTGTCTCTCAGTGCCCACAACAAACTTTTGCCGATGTTGGAAGTGGGAAGTGTGAAATGTGCATGGACAATTGTGAGGTCTGCTCCGATCCCTGGCACTGCCAGAAGTGTCAGGCTGACCAAGGACAGTCTTTCTTCCTCCACAATGGCAGATGCTTACAGGAATGCCCTGAGTAAGTAGCCCCTGTTACATTCCTCACTGAGCTCCTTCTCTTTTTGTAATCTAAATCCTTAATTTTGGCCTTTTAAAAGAAAGGTAAATGTAACTTGGGTATTAAAAAATACCACAAGGTAAAAATCATTTTCAGATGGCCTGAGTAAATAAAATTTTCTATGGTTTAGAGAAGAAGTGAAAAATCAGAAGTGAAACTAGATATGTAATGCTATGACAGATTTTACTGCTCCCATTGTCTTCAAAAGGACCACAGTGTTTCAGGATATTCTTCATGGAGAATGACAACAAGTGTCTAGTCCTTCTCCTAACCTGTCCTTTACTCAGAGTAGTAGAGAGTAAGGGTGTGAACAACTTATTTAGGATGCCATCTATAATGAAGTGGAAGAACTTCTTTCCTTTGAGCATGACCGAGCACTAGAACAAGCTGCTCAAAGAGGCTGTAGAGTTTCCATCTCTGGATGTATTTAAAACTCATCTGGGCATTTCGACATTTTCCTGTACAACCTACACTACAGAACCTGCTTTAGCAGAGGGTTGAAGTCCATGATCTCCAGAGGTCCCTTCCAATGATTTTGTGATTCTGTGAAACAAGAAAGTGAACGTTTCAGAGATCTGATATGGAAATAAAGTAGCCAGTTAGGTTTTTCTATTCTTGGCATCTTACAACATTTAATTTTTACTCTAATAAATGGAATTAACTTCACTATCTCAGGTATTCCTGTTTTCTGTGCTTTGTTAGTATTCATCAAAGCTACATATATATGTATAAAACCTATGCTATGTAATATGAAACTCTCACTTGAATCATCTTTCTTTTAAGAAAAAAGTCCACCTTCTGCTTTTCTTATTACTAGCACAAATTCTTTGGCAGAATTTTCATGCTAACTTTGTCATATAAGTATACAAGGGGCAGTGAAACAGATTCTGACTAGCATAGTTCAGAACAAATGCAAAGTATCTGCCGCATTACAGGAGGAAAAAGAAATCAAAAACTGTGGAAGGGAAGGGAAGGGAAGGGAAGGGAAGGGAAGGGAAGGGAAGGGAATTTTTTAGAGGTTTTTTTATAATTTCTGACAGAGGACACAGAAATACTGAGCTAGAAGAGCACTCTAGACTGGAACTAAAAAAGGGACTATCAGAAATAGATGCAGGATTATGAATGAAGATTAGGGAAAAAAAATAAAGAAGGAAGATTAGAATAGATGACAGGAAAAGCTCTTCTTAATTTTTCTCTAGCCTTGCTTCTAATACACCTCCCCTCACCTTCTGTGGAAATGTAATCTCTAGGAAATCATATCCTGCTACCAGATTTGTTTAAGTGAAATACATGTTTGCATGCATGTAAATTAATAATCGTCTGAAAATAGAGAGTTGCTTTTCCCTCTATTTTCTAACATTTTCATTTTGAGAGTATAGGCAGACTGGATTGCATCCCTCCTCTCCTAAAACATAGGCCTACTTTCTTGTTTTCTTCATGACTAATTGCCTCAACCTGGGCTGCCTACAGCAGCTTTCACACCATAGATGCTGGTGAAACTTGCTCCTCCTTCCTGTCTTACTGTCACCGCACACAGCTGCTTAAACATTATGGGTTTATTGTCCATTTAATCCAGCCTTTCCTTATTCTTCCTAGCTTTGACACTTGTGGGCTTCTTCCTTCTTCCATCTGGGATCAATGAGATGATGTGTCTCATTCTTTCTCTGCCATCATCACTGAGAGTTAGTCATGGGAGTATAGAGTCTTTCTTTTCCTAGATACTATAGACCCTCCTATTTTATGGAAGTGGCAAACCAAGAAAGCGGTGGGAAAGGAAGTCCAATATGCCTTAGTGTAGGTGTAAAAATAAGAGAAAGCCAAATTCCCTTCTTGGTACTAGCCATGTACATTTTTTGCTTGCAGATACAGAAGGTGTAAATTGAGTGGAGGACAAGTAACTAAATGTGTGAGAAACCCTTTAGATCCAATGAAATAAGTGCACTGGCAAAGTCAATAGACTCACATATGCTCGTAATTCTTAATGGACTGGACTGTGGTAAATATATGCTGACCAACTGTTTGCTTTGTGTTTTATTTTTACTCAATAGGGGATACTTCAACGATTCTGGGATTTGCAAGCAATGCAGTGGTTCCTGTAAGACATGTGAGGGAAGTGCTACCAAATGCCAGTCATGCAAAAGTCCTTTGCTTCTGGAGCAGTGGGAATGTAAACCTACCTGTTCACAGAAACATTTTGCCTTTGATGGAATCTGTAAACATTGCCCTGCTATGTGTCTGGAGTGCATTCACAGTGAAACGTGCAAAGGTATTACAAAGAACTGCTTGTGACTTGGCTACAGTCTGTCTAGATCAGTCTAGGAGCAGACTGAGAGAATAACAGACCTGAAAAGAAATTCAGCAAACCAAACCAAACCAAACCAAGGAAAAACTCCTCTAAGACAAAGGCTAAGCAAATGGTGCTTTATGAGGAGATTCAGTCTAAACTGGGCACCTGTAAAGTGATTTCATCTTGCTTAGTGTGTTCCTGTTGTTCTTCAGATATCTATATTAGTTTGATGCCAGCTTATTGTATTCATGTCTAAATACCTAAATACACATGCACACCACAGTGAAATACAGAATGCTTCTTTCCTAGTTTGATTAAACTTTGTCTCTTTGCAATACTACTCACGGCAGAGAATAAAACCTTTGTAATGAAACATTATCTAGTAATGCATACTTGGGAAAAACTTCAGTGTGCTCATGAGTCTGAATGCACACCAGAATATTCAGGATAATTAATATTTAGCAAATTATACACAAACATGGAGGAAAAAGAAAAACAGCACTATTAAACCAAGTACTCATAAGAAAGTTAACAGATAAATCCAAGCTCTAGCCAAACATTCTGACCAAATATTCCAACCAGATTCATATAATAACAAATCAAACAGAAGTTCAGAAATAAGCAACTATGTCCACCAGTATACAGTGGCAGAATTGTTTGGTTATTATCAATAACAAAATGAATAGCTGATTTCACTTCTCAGACCCTTGAGAAGAAACAGGAATGCTCAGTGAGAGCTAGGCTATGATGGGCAAGTTGGAGGGGAAAATTTAGAAGAGAACGTATGCTCCAAGCCATCTGCTTGTCTCCTGTTATGACATGCACTACTCCCTCACATACTGAAGTCAGCATAAGCACTTTTGCTTACTCTGTTTGTTGTTCTCTGTAGAGTGTGTGGATGGGTTCTTCCTGCATGAAGGGAAATGTGTAGAGGACTGCCCTACCCAATTCTATGATGAAGACAATCACTGCTTTCCCTGCCATGGAGACTGCAAGAACTGCAACGGACCAGACTCAGACGACTGTACTGAGTGTGCAGTCAGCTACTTTGTCCTATATGATGGCATGTGTTCTGAAGAGTGCCCTGAAGGGACTTATTATGAAGATGAGACTGAAGACTGTCAAGGTTGGTAGCTGCTGTTTTCTCCAGAATGGCAGTAAGATAGAAGTAGACTAGCAAAACACTATTCTAAAAAGACCTGCCCTTCCTGACTATGTCCATCTATGTTTTGGAAATGGAGGGGATAACAAAGGCAGAAGAAATATCAAGCACAGTTTACAAAAATTGGAGAAAGTCCAAGAGAGGAAGGCAACAAAACTGGAATGTGTTTATTGAACTACTCTGGTAAAACACTGAGCGTTGCTGGAGACAGTAAGTTGAAAATCACTTCTCAGTCATTGAAAAAGGAAACCTAAGGAACTGGCTGCATGACCTCAAAAATAGTGAGTGGTTTGACTACGCAGAACCAGAGATTTTTCTCTGTTTCTCTCAGCCTTTCACTCTGAGATGGAAACTGCTCCTTGCAAAATTTGTATTGAAATAATCGTATGAAACATAGCATGGTGACATTCCTACTGTTTCTCCATTTCAGCATGCAATAGGACATGCAAGACTTGTTCTTCATCCACTGCCTGCCTTACGTGCAGAAACGGCCTGATCCTGAATCGTAACGGACACTGCATGCTATCTGGACACTGCTCTCGCACCGAGTACTATGATGACAAAACTGAGACCTGCAAAACTTGTCATAAGAAATGTTTTCACTGCTCAGGACCAACTGAACACCAGTGTATTAGTTGTGCAAATAACCGCTATCTTTTCAGTAAGTGCCTTCCTCCTGTTTATTCCACACTGACAGCATGGAATAAACCAGCTTATGTGACATTCATAAAATATTTAGGACTGCTTTAGACTATCTAAATATTGCAATGTAGATCTGATAAGTAGAAGACTTGCTCAGTGATAACTACTTTCTGTAGAGCTACCTGGAAACAAAATCATCATTTGGGGTTGGCCACTCACAGACTTCTAAGTAGCAACAAATCCCATAGCTAAACAAAATGGTTTGTTTTTTTTTAATTCAATTCCTATTTACTGTCACTGTTGCTTTCTATAAAGACCTTAAGAAGAGGAGAGGGACAATCTTTTTTTTTTTTTTTTTTTTTTTTTTTTTTGTAAGCACAAAGAAATCACAATTTTCAGGCTGACTTTTTAATTCCTGCAGAAATCTGATGAGCCATAAATACTTAAGTAGAAACGTTAAAAATCGTTCCTGGATCACAATGCCAGTCTCAAGTGGATGGCTGAGATATAAAACTACTTTACTTTTGAGACTTGGTGTAAAAGTCTATTGTCTCAGGAACAAATTGATAAAGAGTATAAAATATTAAATCTTAAACTTCAATTCTTTGTAACTTTTTCAAGACAAAATTTAGAAAATCAGTTGGAGAGAAACTGATTAAAATGATCTTTCATGCCAGAAACACATAAAGAAAGCCCAAGGTGAAACTGACCCCAAGATGTTTATGTTTAATCTGATGCAGATTTTGCATTCTTAAATTTTGGATGCTTTGCATTAGATCTGTGTTTTATATCATCACATTAAATTGTTTTGCACAATTACCATTGGTGAAAAAAAAAAAAGGAAGTATCTTTATTTTCCCAATTTTAATCATCAAAATGTGAAAAACTAGTGAGATAATAAGTATTAAGCTACTAGCTAGATGGTCACTGCTCTCTTATCTTGACAAGCTTGCAGTTATTTGAATCACTTAGTTTCTTGTTTCTGATTCCTGTCCTTCTAACGACCTCCTGATATTTCAATCAGTGTGATGTACCTGATACATTTGGTAGTATTGCAGACATTTATTCTCGTAACACAAAGCATCAGCTACGTACAGGGGTAAAGACCAGCAAATAAAAGTCACTAAATTTCAGATTCATGATTTACACAGAATGCAATGAGATCAACACTTTTAAGAGTGAAAACTATAGGAAATGTTTATGCCTATAGAGAACTTCTTCATTATTATTTCTTCTTTCTTGTATTTTAAATGAAATCACTGCTGTTCATTATCATGTACTATGCATTTATGTTCTCTAAAGATAAAAAAATTATCTGCTCTGAAAATCATGCTATTGTACACGAAGTACAGAAATGAGGACGACTTAACTGAAAAGGCTTAGAAGAAATTACTATCCCAAGTTAATATCCCAACATTCCCTTTTCTTGCTCTGGTACAAGCGTTAATAGCATCTCCTGTTAGAGTCTAATCTGGGAGCATATTGCGAGCTATTTTATAGCAGCAAATACTATGACATGCTATTCCTCATTGCTCTCTGTGCAGATACAACCTGTGTTGAAACATGCCCAGCTGGGTACTACGCTGACAGTGATGAAGGACGGTGTTCCCCATGCCACATCACCTGTGCCACCTGCAATGGAAAACACAGCTCGCAGTGCCTTTCCTGTAAACCAGGCTTGTATCGGCAAGGAAAAGGATGCGTAAGCCAGTGTCCAACAGGGTAAGGTCCAAGGTCTTTAGCAAAGAGAGAGCTACAGCACAGAGAACATTTTGAGATGTTAGGTTGTTTCTCTCCTATTTATTTTAGAGTCAGGCAGAATTATATTTCATTTCTTGCAAAAATGTCTTATGCTGTTCCAATACAGAGGCAGAGGAAAACCTCACCTTATTGTATAAAAACTAGAATGTTTGCTCCCGAACTGGGACTATCTGACATTATGTGGTCATTCTCACTCTCTGAGGATGCTCTTAGGTTATATTTGTATAGAAAAGAGTGGAGCAGAATAAATATTGTAAGTTATCAGCTTCAGCACAGGAAGTAAGCACTCTTGCAGGCTCCGCCTAACTTGAAATTTAGATGAGATGATTTTTGTTTTGCATTAAGCAAATATTTATAACCAATCATAATAAAACTAACCACTAAAAGATGTTTTAACTGAGTAGTCAAACTCCTGGACAGCAACTTCATTAATATGAGTACATTCAATTTCAAAATGTGAATTCAATTAGTTCTTGTGACAAAAATTTAAATCTGGAAATTGGACTTACTATTTCTGGCTCAGATCCATTTGATTTTGCAGTAATGCAGTCATGCTGGCGTTCAAATTCAGTTATCATTCTATTAAACTGGAAGTCTGTAATGGCCATGTCTCAACACAGCCACAAAGCAGCTCTTCCCCTTCTTCCTCTGACTGTACAACTTAGGTGAACCAATTGTCCCTCTGTTGGAACCCTTTGACTAAACCTGCTTATGGATTGAAAGAAATCATGAATTTCTTGAATTTCTTGAATTTCTTGAATTTCTTGAATTTGCTGAATTTCCATCTGACAACGGGTCATCAGGGTAGTGAGAAACTCTTATTGCTTAATCAATATCTCACAAGACATCTCTGGCAAAATCAAAATGGAACTTATGTTTTCTGCCCATTTACATACTTATTTTGTACCTGAACTCATCTACAATTTTAGAAAGCCTTTCATTGTATACTTTCAATTTTACAAAGACTTGTTTCGTAGCTAAATTCCAATGGCCAAGAATATTTGTTCTGTTTCCACTGGGACTGCAAATATTTACTGTGATCACATAATTATCACTGTTATACATTCATGTTATCAGAGAAACTGCTCATGATGAAAGGTGTTCTGGTTTTCCTGCCATTGTTAGACATGTTGCACAGCCACAACTATCAAATCTGTTTCAGCTATTTTGCACAAAACTCCACTGGGTCATGCGAGCGCTGCCACAAGGGCTGTAAGGAGTGCATGGGGCCTCAACCAACAGACTGCCTTTTCTGTGATACATACTTCTACCTGCTGCACTCCAAGAACCAATGTGTTAGCTCTTGTCCTGAATATTACTATGAAAACAAGGATGACAATGTCTGTGAAAGATGCCACCCTTTCTGCCGAACTTGTGAAGGTAAAAGCATACACTCTGCTTTGGCAGCATAAAAGAGATTATCAAAACACCTGCCAAGATTACCCAGCCACTTCTGTCTCCTTTCTTTACCTCTCTCTGCTCCAAGATCTGTAAGCACACAACAAAACGGTGTGCTGTGCATAACCCTGCCAGCCATCAACGATCTCTGGCCACAGCAGGCAGCCAAGGCCTCTCCAGCAGCTGCCAGCTTCTCCTGCACCCCAAGGTTTCTCACTCTTCTGGCTGCTTCATGTTGCCACCTTGCCTTTAAAGTACCAATCAACCAAGATCAAAGCAAGAATATGAATTCCCAGCAGGCTCCCCATGGGGCCGCCTGCAGCCATAGAGGGGAGCACAAAGAGTGAGTTCCCAGAGAAAAGAAATAAACTGACGATGGTAATTGAGTTTTCAGTCAGCCAGACCTCACACAAAGATGCTCATCCACTTCAAAATAAAAGAGCTCTATTGCCTTCACAGCTACACTCTGCTTCTTGCACAAACACTGAATAACATCTCCGTCTCTGAACTAACTTATATTACTCTGTGAAAGCCAAGGGTTTTAAATCTAACCTCAGATCTTTGTGGTCAGTAAAGGAAAGAGTAGAAAATCAACTGCTAACAGCACTTAAGACCATAAAGCATATCTTCAGTGTGGGGGAAAAAACATCAGTGTGATGTCTGCTGTTTTTAATGCAGTTAAGTTTTTTACCACATTTATTTTGAGATATGTTTTCTTCTATGACACCCTCACATATTCAGTTTCTTCACTTTCCTTTATAATACTGTGTGCAATTTGGAATGGGGCAGCATTAGTCCACTTGGAATGAATGTCATCTGATGATAGCTGGCAGCTTCTGCTCCACAGCTCAGACTACACCAAGCAGTGTACAGCAGTTGTGTTGGATGGTGGATATGTTGGATAGCACAGATGGCTAACTGCAACATAACAATATTTAAAATTGTGGAAATGCTTCCAAGAGTAAAGCAACCTTCAAGAACTATTAAAATGTGACCGCATAGCAGCATTATATTATAATGTATATATACTAATATTACAACAAACATTTTACTTTGGATTTGGGACAAAGATGTTGTCATTTAACTTATAGACCATTTCTAATCATGAATTTTGTTTTATTCATGATAAAATTACTACAGAAGACATTTTCTGCTGTAGTTACTACTAAGATAAAATACAAGCTCATCCTCTTAAATAACAAATCTGTAGCTGCTTTGAAATGCATCTGCACTGCTTATGCACAGGAAAAGAAGTCTCTTCTTTCTCAAGACCTGAAAAGACAGAGTAAACTAACTGAGCCATAAAAAGTTGCTAACTTCACCTGTTTAACTTTTGCTAACATTTAATTAGTACGGTTTTTTCCTTTTAGATGATGGAGGAAAACAACTAGTTGCAGGGAAACTGACAGATACATCGTAACTTGGAGGACAAACCACTCACTTTAATGCTCCACAGAAACACTGTGGGCAGCATCTGCCTTTAAAAAGACTCACAAAACACGCACCATTCTAAATGATCCTCCTGAATGCAACCCTGTACAATGGTTCCCTAATCACATTGTCATGAATATTTTCATGAATTAAGAAATGCAGTTTTGGGGCACACAAAACCTCAAGCATCATGCAGAAGCTGCTGAATACCATTTTAATACCAGTTTCTTCAAGCTGGAGCTGCCACTTAAGATGCTTGAAATTAACAATATCCCTTTTCATTGGTAGTAGTGATCAGTATGAAGTTAGATGAGAATTTTCACAATTTTAACATTGTTGTTTTATTGTTGTTTTAATATTTTTGTTTTATTTGCCTCTTTAGGAAAGGAAGGATTCAGCTGCACATCTTGTGTATGGAGCTACAGTTTGTTAAATGGAATATGCAGCTCAGACTGCTTTGTAGGTTACTACAAAGTCCAGGAGGCACCAGAACAAGAGGTAATATTCATAGGCATTTGGTCCGGTAATTAGTATGCTGAATTTTAACTTCTGAACACAACACAAGCACAGAATGTTCTTCTTTGAGTTTTCAAGGCTTTAAAAACGTATACTTTTTTCTTCTTTTGACAAAGGAAGCATTGTTTCTTTTTTTGGGTTTTTCTACTATAGAATATTTCTCTAAGAGTAAATATAAAGACACTACTCTGTCAAAGATGATACCAAACTCATGTGAACAAAATCAATTATATTAGTAAAAGAGTATTTATTTTATCCTAGTTTAACTGCATTTCCGTAGGGATTTCTGCATCTGAGAAATCATATCACATTCCTGATAGGCAGTTCTGCTAGCAGAAGTCTAGTGAAAAGAGAAGCTGAAGTTAAAGCTGTATATTTAGTAGAATAGGATCACAATCAGGTTTGGGTCTGTGCACCTAGCCTGCTTCCGGGTTTCTACACCAACTGCCTTTCAAAGACGTTTGTTCAAGAATATAGCAACAAAGTAAGACAACTGGCTGGACATCACAGAATCTCACAATCACAGAACTGCAAAAGTTGGAAAGGAAATCGAGTCCAACTTCCCCATCAAAGCAGGTATGGTTGGTCACACAGGTAGGCATCCAGACAGGTCTGGATGTCTCCATGGAATGAGACTCCATAACTTCTCTGGACAACCTGTTCTAGTGCTCTGTCACTTTACTGTAAAGAAGTTCTTCAACATGTTAATATGAAATTTCCTATGTTCAAGTTTTAGTTCATTACTCCTTGTTCTATTTCTATGCACCACCAAGAGCCTGGCCTCATCCATTTGCTCCCACCTCCATTTAGATATTTATAAACATTTATCAGATCCACCCTCAGTCTTCTTTTTTCCCAGGCTGAACAGACACAGATTCCTCAGTACTTCCTCACACTGGAGATGCTCCAGGGCCTTTACCACCTTCATGGCCTTCTGCTGGATTTCTACAAGGAAATCCCTGTCTTCTTTGAACTAGGGAGTCCTAAAAATTCTAAATGTGTCCTCACCAGGGCAGAGTAGAGGGGGCAGGTCACCTTCCTTGACTGGCTGGCCATACTCTTTTTAATGCAGCTCAGGTCACAAGGGCACACTGCTGGCTCATGGTCAACCTGTTGTCCACCAGAACACCCAGGTCCTTCTCCACAGAGCTTCTCTCCAGCAGCTCATCCCCTAGCCTACACTGCTGCACATGGTTATTCCTCCTAACGCTTGCTCTTGTTAGACCACATCAGGTTCCTCCCTGCCTAACTCTCCAGTCTGTCCAGGTCTTGTTGACTGGCAGCACAGACTTCCAATGTATCAGCCACTCCTCCCAGCATCAGCAAACTTGCTGAGGGTGGACTCTATCCATTAATCCAGATCATTAATGTAGATGTTGAACAAGACTGGACCCATCACCAATCCCTGGGGAACATCTCTATTTACAGGCCTCTAACTGGCCTCTGTGCTACTGATGACAACCCTCTGAGCTCTATCAGTCAGCCAGTCCACCCCACCATCTACTCATCTATCCCACACTTTCTAAGCTTCATTACAATGATGCTGTGGGAGATGATGTCAAATGCATCGCTGAAGTCAAGGCAGACAGCATCCATTGTTCTCCTCCTATCTACCCAGGTAGTGATTACAGCATAGAAGGATGGTCAAGCATGGTGAATCCATACTGACTACTCCTGATGACCTTCTTCTCTTCTAACTGCCTGGAGAGGGTATCCAGAACAAGTTGTTCCATCACCTTTCCAGGGACAGAGCTGAGGCTGACTGGCCTGTAGTTCTTGCCCTTTCTGAAGACTGGAGTGACTGAGATTGGCTATCCTCCAGTCTTCACACACCTCTCCCATTCGCCAAGACTCTTCTAACATGATAGGAAGAGATTCAGCAATCACCTCTGCCAGCACTCTCAGCACATGTGGATGCATCTCATCAGGGCCCATGTATTTGTGTTGATTTTAGCTAGACACTTTCTGACCAGATCTTCCTCAACCAACAGCAAGTATTAGTTTCTCTCTTACCTCCAGGGTCTAGGATTCCTGAGAGCCAGCCTTAGCATTAAAGACTGCATTCAGAGTCTTTGCTTTCTCCACATCCTCTGTTACCACGGCACTCACCTCATTTATTAAGGGACCCACATTTTCTCTAATCTTCATTTTACTGCTGACATAATTTAAAAACAAAAACAAAAAAAAAAAAAAAAAAACAAAAAAAAAAAAAAAAACCTTTCTTGTTTTCCTTTACCTCCTTTGCGAGGCTTAATTCAAAGAGAGTCTTAGTCTTCCTTGTTGTATCCCTACAGGCCCTGAAAACATTCCTATACTCTTCCCAGGTGGACAGGCCCCTTTTACACATTTCATGGACCTTCTTTCCCTTTAGTTTATCTATGAGTTCCTTGCTCATCCGTGCAAGCCTCCTGTTGAATTTCCCCAATTTTTTTCCCTTAGGGATGCACTGATCTTGAGATTGGAAGAAGTGATGTTTAAGTGTCAACCAACTCTCAAGGAGCTCCCTACCTTCTAAAAGTTTAGTCCATGGGAACCCAGAGGAGAACACTGCTTGTGCTTCCGGTCCCTTTAATGCCTTTCCAAGGGATGCAAAATCCTTTTAATGTTCTGTAATTTCCTTGTTACAACATCCTATGACCCGACATGCATGACAACAAGTGGGTAATAGTCTTCTTGTTTTATCAGAAGTGGTAAAGTCTTCTTAACATCTCTGACACATGCCCCACAAGACAGCAAATGTCTCTGGAGAGGTTATCTGGGTGGCAAATGGGGGCCTCAGTGCCCCCAGCAAGAAGTCCCCAGCTACTAAGACTCTTTGCCTCTTTTTGGTGGCCCTAGTTCTAAGGAGATTCCTCGGTTGGCCCCTCTCCACATGCTTGCTGCTTCCTGGGCTGCCTGGCATTCAAACACTTCTGTTTCCAACCCAAGTCTTGTGCCTGTTGCTCAGCGGGGGACTGTCAGGTTAAGAGGAAGGTACCTCCTTCCACTCCATGCAGAAATGAAGGTCCATACCCCTTGTATTGGGTGCTATCTTGTTCTTTAGCCTCCAGGTGGGAAGCTGGTTTAGCTGCTTCTCCAGGCAGGGACTTACAAGAAGACTGCAGGCCATCATGTGTCAGTTCAGACCTCCTCATAAGTCCCCCTCTCTGATTCCCGGGTGCCTCAGCCTGCTGATTTCTTCTCCAGCCTGGGCATCTGCTCAGGAAATTCACCGAGCAAGGCACACCTATATCAATTATATCCATCCCCTCCTCCTCCTCCCTCAGGCCAAAGAGTAAATTCCAGATTCTGTAACTCCCCACAGCCAAAGGTCCCTGAGAGATCTGTCTGAGAGCACTCCCCAGCCCATGCAGCTGCGGGCCCCATATCTGCCTTTCTGCCTCAGCCTGTCTGCCATGCTGGGTGAACACCATGTTGGTGTTAATAGAGCTCTCTTCTTGCGGTCTTGAATGAAAGGAGCAACATGCCCTGCTTGCCTGTCCTGAGCAAACTGCCACACCACGCTCTGTTCACCCATTCTGTTCTCTGTGCTCCCTAGTTGCCACCTTTGTACCTTGATGTGTGGCCCCACTGTTCTTGGCACCACCCCAACACATCAGAGATCTGCCTCTAAGTGCAGGGCAATGGCACCCAGCAGAAATGAGCTGTCCCTTGCCCATTGAGGCAGTTCTCTGCTTTGGTGCAGAATGTGTGCCCCAGAGCTGAGTGCCTCACAAAAAAGAAAAAAAATGGTGTCGCATAACCTGAAGTCTCTGGCTTGAAATTTCCCATATAAGTGCTGCTCCATACCTGTGAACCTGAAAAAAAGCCTAGGAGCTGAGGACCACAGAGGTGCACAGTTCTTTTTAAGAGCTCCAGATCTACTGCTGTCTCCCCATATTTTGTCCAACCTCTTAGATTCAGGACAAGCAGCCCTGCAGGTCTGAGATTAAGAGTGGTGAAAGATTTCTGGCATTTCAGATTGTTACAGTGGGTTTGTTGATCTTGGTCCTGTGGCAGAAAAAATAGCTCATATTTCCCATTAGGCCAGGAAATACAAACATTAGAAGCTCTGAATTGCCTCACAACATACAGCAAAGTAGGTATGACAGTGATGAGCACCAGTAGTATTATTTGGAATTTGAGAAGTTTTTGAATCTGTCCTCTTAGCACCGGTGTTCTTCAATATTGTTATTGATGGTCTAGACGGTGAGATTGAGTACACTTTCAGCAAGTTTGCAAGAGACAGAGCTGAGTGGTGCAGCTGATATGGCAGTAGGAAGGGATACCATCAAAAGGGATCTGGACAAACTTGAAAAGTGGGCCTGTGTGAACACAGGGAGAATCAACAAGGCCAAGTGCAAGGTGCTGCATTTGGGCTGGTATAATCCCAGGTGTGTGTACAGATTGGAAGCATTTGAGAGCCATCCAGAAAAGGATTTGGGTAATCTGGTATAATCTGGTCGATGAAAAACTGGAGATTTTCTTCCAGCCCAGGAGGACAACAGTACCTTAGGCTGCATCAACAAAGGGGCAGCCAGCAGGGACAGGGAGGTGATTGTCCCTCTCTGTTCTGCCATTGTGAATAATGTGTCCAAGTCTGGTGCCTGGACATGAAAAAATGAGGAGCTGTTGGAGAAAGTCCAGCCAGGAAGATCATCAGAGAGCTGGAGCACCTCTCATATGAAGTAAGGCTGAAGGAGCTAGGCTTGTTCAGTAGGCTCTGAGGAAATCTCACTGGACACTTTCAGTATTTGAGGGAAGCTTATATTAAAGAAGTAGACCATCATTTCACATAGTCTGATAGTGACAGGACTAAAAGATGGAAGATCTAGATTAGACATTATGAGGAAATCTTTTATGCAGATGGTAGAGACGCTCTGGCACAAGCTGCCCAGAGAAGATGTGGATGCCCCATCCATGGAGATGTTCAAGGCAAATATGGATGGAGACCTGGGCAGCCTTATCTAATGGGGGGCAGACCTGCCCATGGCAGGGAGTTGGAACAAGGTGAACTTTAACCTCCCTTCCAACCCAAGCCATTGACACACATGACACTGTGTTTCTGCGAAATAGAACCAATGAGAACTAAAAAAAAATTAGATTGCTACAAAATTTCCAGCCGGCTTTACTCTTTATTTCTGTCCCTGCCCTAATCTGAAAGGGAATGAATTCTCTAGTTTTTTTCCTTTCTGTTTATTATTTTTTTATTTTTATTTTTCTTCTCTCAACGTATTTTCACTTGCTTCTCCCATCTCAGTACTTCCAATTATATTCTTGAATACACTTTTTGAAGGCTGCTTTGACATCATTAGTGCCAAAGAGCCAAATCTATTACAACAGGACTAGCAAAAGAAGAACACTTTTTGGACAAAAAGCATATATTTGGAGTGAGTTCTAGCCAGCTGTCTTCCTAAGTCAGATCTCTAAGCTCATACAAGTCTTCATCCGTCTTCCTACAAGTAGATCAGTGCAAACCTAACAAGTATTAACAAAATTTCAGTTTTCCTATTCCTTCCAGTATTTTGAAATCGATACCTTTGGCATCCAGATGTGACCACTCAGTGAATCTAGGGCAGCACTGTCACATCTAGGGCCAAGGAAGATGAAAAGAAAGGTGCACTGTTTGTTCTGTGTCTGTAGGGGGATGAGACAAAGTGTGAGAGATGTGACAGCACATGCACGGAGTGCAAGGGGCCTGGACCTCTCAACTGTACCATCTGCCCAGCTGGCATGCAGCTCTATCTGGAAGAAGGCCGCTGCCTACCCTGCTGCAGTGACACTGACCCAGCAGACATCCCAGAGTGCTGTGACTGCAATGAAACACAAGGTATGACCATCCTGAGGGGCAGCAGTGCTGCTGGTGGGTGTTATGTCTGACTAAGCTGACTTTTAGTGGTGAAAAGTAGAAAACAGCAAAAATGTACTGCTGAACTACAAATATGTGGTGTATTTTTACTGCTCCATCACTAGAATAGGAAGGACTTTACCCAAATAACAGCAATTGCAATTAGTGCAGGAGTTGCCACCCCCTCTCATTCCAATCTATTGTGCCAAGTTGCCAAGCTTTTCATAAAACACTTGACTGGGAAGTGCTTCCTTTAATAAATAGCAATTTGAAACACATAATTTTAAGCTCCCAAGTCAAAATCATACTGTCAACTTCAGAACAGCTGTAGTGTTTTATACAACTGATGATCTGTAGGGTAGAAAAATGTTTTTATAGGCAAACTGATACAATTAGGAAAAACAGGCTCAGGGCACACAACCTGTCTTCAATTTTTTCTAGGTGCTTGATAGTGAAAAGTACATCTTGGGAAGGGGAGAGATCGTCCATTTCTTGCGTACTCTCAGATAGAAGGACTGTATTTGTCTACTTATTAGCTTCTCAGCTTCTTTCAGGTTACTGCTAGTCTAATAAGGAAACAAAGCTGTCTCAACAATCTTGCTTACTTACACTGTCACACTCAAAGCATTCTTAGTCTTTTAAAACAAACTCAGCAATTCTCATGTACAAACACAATTTAATTTATTTTATTTTATTTTATTGTTGCTGTCAGATGACTGTGTGTTACGAACCAAGTTACAACCAGCAAGCAAAAACAAGAGCGCTTTCTTTGTCATTATCTGTATTTTACTTATCCTCGTCATTGGAGCCATTGTAGTCATCTGGAGAAAATCAAAATCAAAACCACGCACTGCCAGTAAAGGTAGGTATGAGAAGCTGACAAATGACTCCAAAACCCTTCCTTCCTATGCGAGCAATTATCATGAGAGCCCAAGCTATCAGGAAGACCAAGTGATTGAATACAGAGATCGAGATATTGAAGATGATGATGAAGAAGATGACATTGTATACATGGGTCAGGATGGCACAGTCTATCATAAATTTAGGTATGGACTTTTGGAGGATGATGAAGAAGATGAGCTTGAATATGATGATGAAAGTTATTCATTTAGATAACTCTATTGTCTTATGGGTTTTCTGCTCTGTTGCTTTTCCTATGAAATTGCAGCAATTTAGTTAAGTATGTCTATTTGCTCCTTTTTAGTCTGAACTTAAGATTTTAACTAACACTTATTTTGAGAGCAGAATGGTTTCTAAAAACATTTTCTTCCTGAAGCTTTACATAAATCCCTCTTAGGCTTTTAAATTGCACTCCAGACGTATGTTGTTTAAAAGAATACATTCCTATGCATTTCCGTGGGCAGTAAATCCCTTCACAATGTGTATGCACATGCACTGTGATAAGCACAAACATCCATTCAAACTGTACATACGTACTTACTGCAAACTTTGCTACTCTTTTTTAAAATGGTGCAGATATAGACAAGATCGTTGTATTTGTCTACGTGACAAATATCTCTGGAGTAGCGTTCCAGTAGTTTACTACATTGTGATTATAGTTAAATAGACTTTTGTAATAGCACGGGCAAGGTTTCTGATTCTAGCCAGATTTTCTTTGTTGATGTCACCTGGTGCAGCTATGCTCCTCAAAGCCAATGCATTTCTGCTTATAATCTTGTGGCATAGTTCCCAATGAAATTGTGCACTAATTACATGATTTTTAGGAGTTGAGATTGTGACTGCTCCAGATTGCTTCACTGTACTCATGGTTTGTATGAAAAATATTGAAAATATTTTATGTAGCAATTTCTGATTACTCTTTATTCAAGAGCTTGTTAGATAGTCTTTTGTTGCACACACAGACTTCTTGGTTTACTGCGAAGGGAAATATGGTCTATAAATACAGCCACAAAACAGCACTCCTTTCCTTTCTAATTAGCTTCTCAAGCTACAGATGATTTAAATACCATTTGTTCAAGTAAGTTTCACATTTCTGATGTAAATGCCTCAAGTTTATTGGAGGATGGCAAAGGGGATAACTAATATTTATTTAGTAATGTAATTTAAAGGAACACAGTAATGTGATTTTTGTATTACTACAAAAATTTAATTCATTGTACTAAAGGATGCTCCTTATGGCCCTTTACTGTGAAAGAATAAATTCTTTGCACAAAACCGTTTTGAAAATGTCATTATTTATCAAGTTTTCCTCTTTCCTTTTCAGCTCCTTTGGAGCTTTGTAACTAGAAATAACTGTGGACCTGTAAATCAACTACTTTTAATGGCTGCAAAGAAAGTGTGTGATAATATCTAATTTTTATAGCTCGATTCCTAAGTGGCATTTCTTGCAAAAAGTGTTTATAAATACCTTCAGATCTTTCCATCTGTATGTTCAAAGAAGTTCTAAGGAGAAGACCATTGTTTCCACTTTGAATTTTAATCTTTAAATCGTTACATCTTAAACAAGAATGCAAAATTATGTAAGTTCAAAAAAGTCAAAGCAAGGACCTACATTTATCAAAAGTTTCACAAGAGGAAGGTGCTCTGGAAAGATACATCTTACCTGGCACTTTATTTCAAGTTCTTCTCTGAAGTATTTCTGAAAAAAAAAAAGGGGGGGGTAGGGGGAAAGAAGAGTGAACAATCAGAATGAAAGGTCATATTGAATGAAAGACTGCCTTATTTTGCTCTCCTAACCTTGTTTGGATTAACATGCTTTGTCATCATTGTTAATGATGTATTTAACAATTGTAAGAATTTGCTATGAAAACCTGGAATCTCCTCATCACATTTCAAAGGCTTAATCCTAGCTGCACCTGAGCATTTAGAAATCACTTGACAAATGCAGTGAGTACCTTGTGTACGCAATCACTCTAACATTTCCATCATTTTAATGAAGTTTCTTGAATTTTACTGTACTCTGAATGGTTAAGTATTTTGAATAAGCCAAAGTGTGCATATACCCACAAAGCCAATTCTGTCTTACTTCCTCCTCCACCCACCGTAGTAAGAAAGATGTTCCAAAGAGAGCTAGTATATTTCAAAAACACAAGACTGCTATAGAAACTCTTGCATCTGACTATCTGTTCTCTAGTTCTTTTTTTCTAATGTGCCTGAATTCTTCTGATCTTCAGTAAACTCCCACTTTTGTCAATGGTTTATGGGCTGATTCCTGGTTCCATGACTAGTGGGGTGGAGGATCTGTAGATCCGTGCCTCCAGAAAGGGGAAGCAGGAGACCCTGAATAATTAAAAACAGAGGCAATGATCTGAGGAGAAACAAACTAATTTACTAAATATGGTATCGGAATGCAAAATAACACACTATAATAAAATATAATTAGAATTGAAGTTAGTAAATCAAATGTAATGAGAGAGAATGTTCAAAAGGTGGAAAGGCCTCATCATAGTTGGGTCAAGCAGCAGGCAGGAGAGCTGAAAAAGGGAAAAGAGCATGTCAGGTGAACTTCCAAGGCTTTGCATCTGTTCCCCCTGAGCAAAAATGATAACAGAACAGCAAATAGTCTTCTGGGGAATGTTTTTTTCTCTTCTGGAACAAGTATCCAGACATGGAGCAGTAACTCTTTAACTCCCAGTGCACTATATGATGTTATGATGTGGAATACCGATAATCAAAAATCATAAAACCATGACAGCTTTCTCGTTTTCTGAGTCTTTTTTCCTCACATCAATGCCCCTCAGTTTTCTCCTGCCCTCAGGCTTCACTCTGTATCTTCTTGCCATTCCTATTAATCCGTGGAGTTTCTAAAGACCTTCATTCTTCTCAGATTACTTTTATTTTATCCACCTTTCTGCTAGGCAACTATTTCTGATTACTAGTAGTAAAGCTCTTTGAAAAAGATTTTGTGAAAATTGCATCTTTTGTGCAGGTCTACCACCACTTACCTCTCATATAATTCAGGTATATTTGTTCAAAGGAACGAGTAGATTATCAGGGTTCTCTAGCCTCCCTCTTTCCAGAGAACATAGAAAAATTTTAGTCTTCCATGACTTCACCCTGAAGTTTTGCTAGAAAAGAAGTGAAGGAAAGTGGATTAAAGGAGCCACTGTTCAGGTATCTTGAGACCCAAGGTTCCTTCATCTGTGGGCTGTTCCTGACAAAACTACGTTTTAGTTGAATCACAGAATGGCTTGGGTTGGAAGGGACCTCAAGGATCATCAAATTCCAACTCCTCTGCTGTGGGCAGAGTTGCCAATCATTAGATCATGTACTAGATTAGATTGCCCAGGATGCCATTCAACCTTGAACACTTTCAGGGACAGGGTCTCCACAACCTCTCTGGGTAGCCTGCTCCAGCATTTCACCACCCTCTCAGTGAAACGCTTCTCTGACATCTAATCTAAATCTCCTCTCCTTTAGGCTAACACCATTCCCCCTTGACCTTTCACTATCTACCCATGCAAAAAGTTGATTTCCTTCCTGTTTATAAGCTTCCTTTAAATATTGGAAGGCAGTAATGACGTCTCCCGACAGTCTTCTCCAAGCTAAACAATCCCAACTCCCTCAACCTGTCCTCAAAGAAGAGATGTTCCAGCCCTCTGATCATCTTCCTAGCCTCCTCCGGACCCTCTCCAAAAGGTTCACATCTTTCCTGTAGTGGGGGCCCCAGGCCTGGATGCAGTACTCCAGATGGGGCCTCACAAGGGCAGAGTAGATGGGCACAATCAACTCCCCTACCCTGCTGGCCACCCCTCTTGTGACGTAGCCCAGGATACTGTTGGCCTTCTTTGCCATCTACACACTGTTGGCTCATGTTAAGTTTTTCATCTACCAGGACCCATAAGTCCTTCTCAGCAGGGATACTTTCAAGGAGTTCTTCTCCCAGTGTGTATACATATCTGGGATTACCCCAACCCAAGTGCAAAACCTTGCATTTTGCTTTGTTGAGACTCCTTAAGTTCACAGGGGCCCATTGTTCGAGTTTATCAATGTACCTCTAGATAGCAGCCCTTTCTTTTGCCATATCAACTGCACCAGTCAGCTTGGTATCATCAGCAAACTTATGAGAATGCAGTTGATACCATTGTCTGTGTCAGTGATAATTAATGAGTACCAATCCCAAGACAGACCCCTGGGGACACCTCTCATCACCAGCCTCTATCTGGACATAGAGCCATTGAGCACCACCCTCTGGCTGTGACCTTTAAACCACTTTCACAGCTTACCACGTATTCGCTTCTTGGTCTTGCATGAGGATTGCAGTAGTGGCTGAAGACTTAGATAGGAGTTTCAAACTAAAATAGGAAGGTAAACAAGTTTAAAACAGTTAATGTAGTAGTCTTTCAAATGGAAATTGAGGCATTTGATTTTCTTATGAAAAATAATGCGTGCTTCAAGAGAAATCATAGAATCATAGAATCACCAAGGTTGGAAAAGTCCCACAAGAGCACCCAGTCCAACCATCCTCCAAAAATACATATTTTTGCATTTAAAAATGTATTTACAATCAGATTTCCAAGTTTAAATTTTACCTATAGAAAAAATCTGATTATCCTTAGGTCACCAGAAAATAAACTAGAAGTAATGATAGAATTTTTCAATTTCCCTCAGCATCTTATGTGTACATGTGATTTCAAGCCTGAACTTCAAGTAATAAGACATACAGCCTGATGAGGAACAGGGGGATAGTTTACAAACAGCTCAAAAGCACTGTATCACTTAGTCTTTTATACTATGTAAAAGCAAGCTGGCCACAAACCTCGAAAGTTTTGCAGAAAAAGACACCCAGCATGTGGGTATCTGAGACAGAAAAAAATAAAGCAAAATAAATTCTCTGCCATAACAAGATAACCAATACATGAAGTCAGTATCCTAAGCTATGTATTTAGTTGTATTGTCACTACCATTGTCAGCAATGTTTATAAAACTCTTCTCAATTAAAAAAATCCTAGGAGGTCACATATATCCAAATAATACCCTGGAACAGTAGATAATATAACTCTTCTAGCTATCGTACTAGGAAATACAACTTTTTGTTTATTTTATGTCTTTCTTATTTCAGAAAAACACAAGCAAATTAGGAAAAAAGTATATAGTCCTATATAGACCATATTAGTTACAAAATAATTCTGATACAATTTGGTATTCAATACCTCATATCAGTTCCAGGAAAAAAAAAAAAAAAAAAAAAAAAACCAAACAAAAGAAGCCAAATAAACAAACAAAAAAACCAGTAGAACAACTGGATACTTTGATACTTTGCCCCAGCGATGAGCCATTAAAAAACCTGAGCGTTATGTACTTGAGGATTTAACATTTATGTCTACACTTACAGTCAGTAGTCAGTGCTAGTAGAACAGCTTCATCCATGACAAATTCTGAGGTACACTGAAGAGTCCACTGCATCTAATACAAAAAAGAAGTCTTTATGGCATATCCACATCACCACAGTCTATTACGTTCTTTTATGGTGGGAATTCAGGGATATCACATAAAGGTTACATGAAGATCAACATATAAACAACATGAAAGAGTGAGAGAAAGTTTCCCCTATGAGACCAGGGACAGATTAATGTGTTTCAAGATACAGGTTTGATTTGTTTGCAGTTGTAGCAGATGGACTTTTGCCCTGACCTAGATGAATGTTTAAACAAGTGAACAAGAATGAAAGAAGAGGATGCAACTCTTTCCATCTGACTTCTAAGAGAACAAAGTAGTTTTAGATTTTGAAAAAGAATACAGATCCAGTTGGAGGTCATGACATTCTGAGGACATATCTCCCATAAGTCCTAGATAAAAAACTGCACATGCGCCAACAAACAAACAAGCAAACAAATAAACAGATGGGTTACTTTTGAAACAGTTTAATTTTAACTAGTTTAAACAACCTCTGAACATTTTTCCTTCCAGAATCTTTTAGGCAATCACCCTTACAAAGATTTGCAGAGGACTATGATACCTAATTGTGCTAAGCATGCTAGACCAAATCAATGTCAGAACCCTCCTTAAACAAAAATGTATTTAATAGCAGTATTGGCAATAATCTTTCTACTATACACCAAAGCAGTCATTCTCACAGATAAGAAGTCAAATAAACTATTTCCAAGAATTCTTGATGGTCTACAGCAGAATAAGTATTCAAAAGGCTTTCTGCTATATAGTGCTCAGGAAATAGCCATCTAAAAGAATAACCAAAGTTATCAAAATCTGGTATTGTAGACATAAAAGTAGATCATGTCTTTCAGTGCTAAGTTCACCTACAGAAGTTCTGTGATTATACATAATTTACCACTTCCCTGGGCAGCCCGTTTCAGTGCCTGATCACTCTTTCTGAGAAATATATTTTCCTAAGACCCAACATGAACTTACTCTGACATAACTTAAGGCTGTTACCTCTCATCTGTCACTAGCTACCTTTCAGGTAGTTGTAGAGACCCACCTCTTTTCCAAATTAAATAACCCCAGTTCCCTCAGCTACTCATCATAAGACTTGTGCTCCAACCCTTCACCAGTTTTATTGCCCTTCTTTGGACACTCTTCAAGGCCTCTAAGTCTTTCTTGTATTAAGGAGCACAAAACTGAACTCAATGTGCAGCCTCACCAGAGCTGATTAAAGGGGAACGATCACTTCCCTGGTCCTGCTGCCTGAGTCATTTCTGATGTCTGATGATGTCTGGATGACCTTCTTGGCCAGATGGACAGATTTCTAGCTCATCTTCAGCTGAGCATTGACCAACACCCTTAAGTCCTTTTACTCTGTGCAACTTTCTGCCCCAAACCTATAGCAATGCTTAGGGTCCCTAACAAAAGCCACAGGTCCTGTTGAACCTCATCTGGTCAGTTTCAGCCCATCATTTCAGCCTGTCCAGATCCCTCTGTAGAGCCTTTTCACCCTCAGGCAGATCAATAGTTCCCCCAAATTGATGCCTTCTGCAAACTCACCCCTCGTCCAGAGCATCAATAAAAATACTTAACAGGGCTGGAAGATATTGAACATGCTGCATTTTAATATGCTACCAAGCATGAGTTCTTCAGGTTGTCAGAACTTAAACAGATTAAGGTCAGTTATCCAAACAAGACCATTGGCATTCAAAACAATTCTTACACTGTCTTTCTCGCGCTGATTAATCTACCACAAGAGTAATAGACTCTGGGAGGTGGCAGTCAATCAAAAAGCGCATTGCATGAAAAAACACAAGCTTAATTTTTAAAAAGTACTTGAAACTACAGTAATACTTGTACTGCTTGAACTCTAACAACTTGAACGATCTTCATGCTTGACTTGGCATTCATATGTGCCTTAATTATAAAAAAAACACTGCAGCATCTGAAACATAGATGTTATGCTACAACATTTCTAAGCAAGATGAAGAGTTTTGCCACCTCAAACTGAAAGTAGCAGCACAACTGAAGAATTCTGCAGTACCTTTCAGTATATGAATCGCCTGAATCGCCCCCAGCAATTCAGGTGGAGACAGTCAGAGAGCTTCTCCTCCATCTGGACTGTCACAAGTCCATGGGACTGGATGGGCTGCACCCTCAGGCGCTGAGGGAGCTGGCAGGAGTGATTGCTGAACCCCTCTCAGCCATCTGTCAGCATTTCTGGTTAACTGGTGAGGTCCCAGAGGATTGGAGGCTTGCTTATGTGACTCCCATCTTCAAGAAGGGCCATAAGGAGGATCCGGGGAACTACAGGCCTGTCAGCCTGACCTCAGTACCAGGGAAGGTTATGGAGCAAATCATCTTGGATGAGATTGCACAGCATGTACGCAGTGTCCAGGGGATCAGGCCCAGCCAGCACGGGTTCATGAAAGGCAGATCGTGCTTGACCAACCTCATCTCCTTCTATGACTGGGTGACCAGTCTGCCAGATGAGGGAAGGGCTGTTGATGTAGTCTTCCTAGACTTCAGCAAAGCCTTTGACACGGTCCCTCACAGGCTTCTTCTGGGGAAACTGGCTGCCCATGGCCTGGACAGGTCTACCCTTCTATGGGAAAGGAACTGGCTAGAGGGCTGTGCCCAGTGGGTCGTGGTGAATGGAGTGAAGTCCAGCTGGAGACCCGTTTCAGGTGGTGTCCCCCAGGGGTTGGTACTGAGGCCCATCTTGTTTAATATCTTTACTGATGACTTAGATGAGGGCATTGAGTGCACCCTCAGTAAGTCTGCAGATGACACCAAGCTGGGAGGTAGTGTTGATCTGCCTGAGGGTAGGGCAGCCCTTCAGAGGGATTTAGACAGGCTGAACTGCTGAGCTGAGGTGAATGGGATGAGGTTCAACAAGGCCAAGTGCCGGGTCCTGCACTTTGGCCACAACAACCCCATGCAGCGTTACAGGCTGGGGGATGAGTGGCTGGATGAGTGTGAAGAAGAGAAGGACCTGGGGGTGTTGGTTGATGCTCGGCTGAACATGAGCCAACAGTGTGCCCAGGTGGCCAAGAGGGCCAACAGCATCCTGGCATGCATTAGAAATAGTGTGGCCAGCAGGAGCAGGGAGGTGCTGTCCCCTGTACTCAGCACTGGTGAGGCCGCACCTCGAGTACTGTGTTCAGTTTTGGGCCTCACTACAGGAAAGATGTTGAGGTCCTGGAGCGTGTCCAGAGAAGGGCAACGAAACTGGTGAGGGGTCTGGAGCACAGGTCCTATGAGGAGCGGCTGAGGGAGCTGGGATTGTTTAGTTTGGAGAAGAGGAGGCTCAGGGGAGACCTCATTGCACTCTACAACTTCCTGAATGGAGGTTGTGGTGAAAATGGATTTGGCCTCTTCTCCCAGGCAACGAGCAGGACATGGGGAAATGGCCGCAAGTTGTATCAGAGGAGGTTTAGATTAGACATAAGGAAGAACTTTTTCTCTCAGAGAGTGGTCAGGCACTGGAATGGCTGCCCAGGGAGGTGGTGGAGTCGCCGTCCCTGGCAGTGTTCAAGAGGCGTCTGGATGACGTGCTGCATGATGTGGTTTAGTGCTTGTGGTGGCAATGGTGATGGGAGGACGGTTGGACTGGATGAACTTGTAGGTCGTTTCCAACCTTGTGATTCTATGATTCTGTGCTAAAGAATATGCAGATTACAATCACAGTAAAAATCAATCAGAAAATCTGCAAGCAGCATTACAATTTTTTTAATTACATTCTCTTATTAATAGTACAGTACCACAACAAATTCAAGTTATCTGCACATAATACAAAAATAGAACACATCATAAAATTTATACTGTAATAGGGATCATGTATTGAACTTAGAAAGTTATATAAAATATCTGATTTTAAATAATGCACAAATAGATACACTCAACCAAGTGAATGCAATTACATTTTCTCTAATGTGAAGACAAACACAAAGAGTCTATTGTTTTACTGTTAATATTCTTCACACTAGGTTAAAGCTCTGAGCAAAATAAGTTTTTCAAATTTCCCCTTTGCAACTGCTTTCTATCATCAAGCACAGCTGTTCCGAAAACAATGATGAGCAGATTTTTGTACAGTAACATTCACTAGCAGTTACAGAGTAGCATTACTGAGACAACCAGCTTAAGGCACCATGGTTTTCACAACTGACACAGGAAGTTCATGGCAAAAGAAAAAACCAAAACAAAACAATGAGCTTAGACATAATGCTACAATGAATAAAGATTTATTCTTCAAACACTTTTAAAACATACTTCATTGACAAGCATGGCTTCCGTCGTTTCTCCAGAAGTATAAAATATAAAATAAGAACTTGGCATTGTTACAAACTCAAGAATGCATTCCACTGGAGGAAAAAAAAAAAAAAAAGTGAAAATATCCCCTCATCATTTTTCTATTTTAGAGAGGAAAAAAAGAGCTGCTACTACTTTCAAGATAATTCCCATATATTTCCAATATGCAATCCAGTAAAGTCTATTAAACTGTTGTTTTGGTATTTTTTTTTCTTTTTATTTCATGCAAATATTTTTTTTTAAATGTTTTCTTACTAAGCAGATTAAAGCATGCTGAAAATATCCAGATAAGAGACAAGAAAAACTGTCAGTGTCTTTGGAGAGTTAAATCTGTAAACAACCTTAGCAATGCAGGCCAAAACATACTTTAGTGCAGTAAGTTCTTATTTAGAAATCACTCTTTCCTCCCCCAAGAACTGTACTTCCATTTTCTTGCCATCAACAGGAATGATGAGCAATTCCTATCAGTGAGTTCTGCTAAAGTTCTATGCAGCAATAAAGATTCCTTGCCTTGTTCAATGTCTTTTCCCAAAGTATCCCATGGTAATGGTGTGAAGTTTAAATAAAAGGAGTTGAACTAAACTCCTGGCATGCTGATACTGCCTCAAGAAATTCTCATGAAGCTTTTTTTTGTCCAAGCTCTCTAAACTGCTAGAGTGAAATAAAAAAATAAAATAGGAGGAAAGTAGGAGGAAAGTCAGAAAATTGTGTCACAGAGCAGGGGGAGTAGATTCATAAGCACAGGCTTCCAAGTATATAGTGTCCTCTACCACCTGTATTTATATTTTAACAGATTTTTCTCAAGATATAATGAATTTTGACAGTACATCCTTCACTTACCTGTGTAAACATTTCAGAGTAGAGAACGCCGCAGAAAAGGCAACTTTTATATTAAAAACTCAGTACTTACTAAAGGTACATTATTCTAAAAATTTCTGAAGACTTCCACTGATCTACAGTGAAAAGTCTGGATTACGCTTCTACTTTGTGCAGATGAAGATACTTTTGTGCTTTACGTTCTAAATTCAACATTTTACTGAGTCATTTCACTGTCAGTATAATAGTTAATCCAAAGTTTCTTCTTATCTAAGGCAGCAGCAGCTGAAATGCAAATTTGTTTTGGTTACCTTCTCTGCCTTAGAAACATTGCTAAGACTTGTTCATTATCCTTTCATCCTAAAACTTTGACATACATTAGCTTTCTCCTCATCATTAATTTCCAGAACTTTAGAGAAACATTTCATCAGAAGGAAGCTGTTTGCATTACACATTGTAGTATGTGCAGTCAACTAGGCAGAAGTATTCATATTCCAGTAATTCAGTAACTAACAGAGACTTCCTTAATTTCAATCAAGGCTAATAAACAATTGCAATCAAAATTAAGAACTACAGTGAATTATTCTTGATACTGTTATCCAATCTTTGGCTTCCTGCATGACAAGTCAACTTTTGACTCATTTATTCTAAGCTGCTTGATGTGTCAGATGTGATGACATAAAACTGGGAAATCAGTTTAGAATGATATTCTGTCTGTGAAAAACTGAAAATCTTCATTTATGTTTTAACTGTCTACACTCGGAGCAAGCAGAGGTCAGAATTAACTTTGGTCATGTTCCACATGTGTTAAAATCTCTATAACAATTAGTACGATACAGATTTGTATCTGTAAGGACCTAAAATAGTTTTCTCCTCCTTCTGCACGACTTGTTTCATGACCAGTCAACACAAGAAAACTTAAATCACATTGTGTGGCTTCAGCGTTTAGTTCCAATCACAGACACACAAACAAGCAGTTATGGGTTAACCCTGGTGGGCACATAAACATCCCTCACTCAGTCCTGCTCACTCCCAGTGGGAAAGGAAAGAGGAAAGGAAAAGCAGGAAAACTCATGAGTCAAGATAATTTAACAAGCAAAGAAGCATAATAAGAGAAAAATGTTTATTACTCACCATCTTGCATGGGTAGACCACTGCCCAGCTGCTACCCAAGAGAAGATGGCTAACCTACCTGAACCGCACTCTCCTTCCATTTTATTGCAGAGCATGACACTGATAAAGAACATCTCTTTAGTTAGTTCATGTCATCTGCATGTCTTTGTCCCCTCCTGACCTCTTGCAAAGCCCAAATGGATGCACTTGAATCAGAGCAAGAAATAGAAAAGGCTTTGACACTATGCAAACACTGTTAGGGTACAGATAAAACATTAGGATGCTCGGTCACAAATCTAAAACACAGCACCATACGAGCTGCTGTGAAGAGAATTAACTCAATTCCACACAGATCAACCACACAAGTCTATGTTGTATCAAACAATATATGATATGTAACTAGGCCAAGAATAGTTTATAACAAGGGGGAAAAAAAAAAAAAAAAAGGTTTTTTGCTCAGTGGTTTTTCCCTTCTGGTAGATGAAAGAAGTTGTCCTTGAGTTTAAGGTGCTCTGGTAAATCTAGTTGTCTTTTTGCCTCTTCAATGTCCTCCTGAATTGCCGAAATGAGTGTCTCTGAAAAATAAAAAGCAGAATAGCAGTATTGAAAAGGTCATCTGAATTCTGAATACAGAATAAAGCAAGGCATACCACCACATCACAGAATGTGATTTCTATTACAAAGTTGGGAAGGCGACATTATCTTTGTTTTTAAAATGCTTTGGTTTTAATGTCAGAATTGCACTTTTCAGTGCTTACAGCATTACCCTTTGCTTGCTTCCAGGCACGTTAGCAAAAAAGTCTACAGAATCTTTGGGACAACTTCAGTTTTAACAATACTATTTCTTTTTAAAAATGTAGCAAGATTAGCCCAATGATTCTATGACACTCAGAACAGAATTACTGAAAACACAATTATTAGACTTAAATAAGTACTGATATACTTGAAAAGATGAGGGGTTTTACCTTTTTAATTCAACTAATGGATGCACTTATAAAAACATTTTACTGAAATGTTAAAGGTTAAAACATAACGTAGCTAATTATGAAGACAAAAGGTGATGACACAGAACTTTCAACGTGAAAGAGTATGACAAACAAAAGATTAGTTTAACAGAAACCTGCAATACTGACCTAAAGAATTAAAGTTTTTTTCTGATCGAATATACCCAGTAATGACTATACTAAGAATTTCTCCATAGAAGTCTTCCTTGAACGTGTTGATAATGTGTGTTTCCTAGAAGAGAAATTAGTTGTCAGTTGTCATGGTGAATTTTGAGTTTAATTCCTTTCTTGCAAGGATGTTCAGTTAACATACTTAATTCAAATTCTCTCTTATGCATTATCAGAAAAACTAAGATACTTAGCCTAACATGTATGATACAAGATTGAGATGATAGAGCCTTTGATAACATCAGCAGTTGCACTTCGTAAGGCATTTAAGAGAAGTTGTTCACTTATGGACATTCTGACTGTTAAAGTCAGGAAAAACACTTCACTCCTTATCTCAAACGTAAGATTTTTTGATGCATAAAATCCCAAATTTTATATGATTGTTACATTCCAAATAACTGTGATGAATTTGATTGCAAAGATATTAAGAAAACCTTCTCAGCTAGTTCACAGAGGAACTAAATGTTAGGACTATCAAAGGAGTGAAGGCAGTTGTCTTCAAAGCAGAGATTCATCGTGAAACAAAATTGCTTCCAGGTATTAGCAATTAAAACCAAGTTCTGCAAGACTCAAGGAAAGCACAAAAACATGACATAAAGATGCCACAGTTTGGGATTTAAGCTCCATTCTGTTACTATTTACTTTTGAATCTTGAATCTGCATATTAAGTCACAGAACCACACACCATTTAAGAGTAAAATTAATGCAAAACCACTAGTAATTAAAATGTCCTCAAATTTCTTATTTTTAATCTGTATGAATAATGGAGGGCAAAAGGTTAGCATGTTCTACCTCATTCTAGGGCTCTCATAACTCATAAGCTTAATACAGGTTTTGAATTTAATGGTTACGTTTATCTACCTGTCAAAACAACAAACACAAACATGCTCCAGAAGAATTTAAGTGGTGGTGGAAGAAAAAAATTCTACTTAAACTTTATTTATATTCAGCTGCACACTGTCCAGTTACAGTTTCAGATTACAAACACATGTACACTGAACACATTTCTAACAGCAGACAAAATTTCTAAATATCACTTGTGGACCAAATTCTGCTTATCTTTTTCAAAGTCAATGTCCTGCTCATTTACTATAGTCAAAGTACCACACAAAGCAAAGTTCTTACCACTGATTTCTTAATATTCTTATAGAAAGGATTCCATCCTATGCTCAAAACCATTTTATGAACATCTCCATTTCCAACAGAGGCCCATCCATAGTATATACCAGTAGGGATATCGGATGGAAAGCTTTCGACTACTTGCTCAGAAAAGTTAGCTGCAAAAATTTTAAAAAGTGCACATTTGTGTAAGTCAATAACAATGCAATTTTCAAATACTTACAAGGCAAGCGCTGCCTACATGCTCTTTGTGCATGTATAATGACGACAGCAATACAACATACTATTTGCAAAGTATAAACAAGAAAACAGCTTTGTAAAAAGTAGTCCTGTGATGATACCAGTCATCCTATCACCTATGCATACTATTTTAGAGTAACACACATCCTTTTCTACAATGAAAAATAATAAACTAACCATTATGTCTGCATTTCACTATTAGAAGCATCACTGCTTCAATATGATCAAAGAACAGAAAAATCAAATCTCTGAGTGGCATCAGAATTATGCACCAAAGGGCTAGTAACACTTCCTGCAGCAGATAAAACATGTGAAAACATGGTGATTTCAGTCACCTGTCAGAGTTTTCACACTGCCTTTCAGGTTACCCACAACTGGGGATTTACGGGATTTTCTTTGAAAACTACGAATCTGAAATAAACTCCTCCCTGAGTGAAGGGAATGAACCCCAAACCACTGCCCTCCTGAACTTTGCGCAGAGCTCTTCACACAGGATTTCAGGCCAATGCTAAAGAACGTTCAGTTAGTGATCTGTTTTGGTTCACAAGCAGCCACTAACTTCCCTCACTCCAGAACACCACCCTCCAGAATTCCATTAACTCGCACTGATTCAAATAAAAGAAAAATAACGTGTTTCTATTAACTGATGCTGTTGCAAGCCTGATACTTCAGGCTTGCTCCTTCAGGTTCTCTTGTCTACTGCGATGGGCACCACACAGCTGCTTCAGTGCCTCTTTAGAAGAGAACAAAATGCGTTTCATTTACATCTTCACTGGTAATTAGATCGAGAAGGGAGCAGCCATGTGAAACATACGGCCCTCTTTAGGGTACACCCGTTTGCTCTGCTTTTCAACCCCTGAATCACCGTCTTTACGTTTCTCACAGCTATCTCTACGCTCCAGCTTGGCCCAACAGGTTTGCACCAAACTGCCACATCGCAGCTCCGCGCACACCGCACTGTAAGCACTGTTCAGCACCCCGCAAATCATCACGGCCATCGTAAGAAAAAAAAAAAAAAAAAAAGAGCTGTCAGACGGCGGCCGAAGCCGCTGCAGATAAGGAGCGCGATGCGCCTCACGTCGCGCACCAGCGCAGCCGCCCGCTGCCCGGCCCCGTCCCGCTCACCGGTGGGTACGCCCAGCTCTCTGGAGCCCCTGCCGAAGCCCTTCACCACCTCCCCACGGCAGAAGTACGGCAGGTGCCTCATGGCGGCCGCACACCGACCCCGCATCGCCACCAGCGTCCACCTTCTAGCCGCTCGACGCCGACGGTCGCCTCAGGCCCTCGCCTCTTCCTCGTCCTGGGCACTACCACGCGGAGGGGAGAGCAGGAGGAGTGCCCCCTTTTTCGAGACGAAGGACGCTCTGCCAGGCGCCGGCCTCCCCCACGGATGGGCTCGCCCACAGCCGGGCGCTGGCTCTCCCGTCAGAGCCGGAGCGCGGCCGCTGCCGGTGGCCGGTTGCGTTTTGTCTGTGACACTCGTTACTTCAGTGTCAGGAGCTCTGGCTGACTTACAGACTCTCACTGTTGTAATCGCAGCTGTTCAGCGTCGAGGGGTGGTAGTGCATATAAGAAGAAAAGCGCTGCTGCCACATCCGTTCGTTCCTTGATAGCAGAAGCATCTTGGATATTGAGCACAGTATTGAGAGGAAACGAGGGAGCAGCAAGGAGCGCTGCTGGGGGGTCAGGCGTGATATGAGGAACGCATTGTGAACGAGAGGGCGGTGTGGGCACAGAACAGACTGCCCAGGGCAGCGGGCACAGCCCTGAGCTGCCGGAGTTCAGGGGCGTTGGGACAGACATAAGTCTTGAATTTCGGGTGGTGCTGTGTGCACCAGCCAGGAGTTGTACTTCACGCTTGTTTGTTTTTTTTTGTTTTTTTTTGTTTGTCTGTTCTTGGTTTTTTGTTTGTTTGTGGTGTTTTTTTTTCTTTTTTTTCTTTTTTTTTCCTTAATGACGACTGCTTTTCAGAACAATTTTTGCTGTTCTTGTGATATCCACAAGATGGCATGCAGTCTCTTTCCGTATCTGTAGGTTTGAACATAACATTTACAATTTTCTCTCAGCAACAAAAAAAAAACCTTGCAAAATAGCAAGTCCACAAAGTATTTAAGAACTACTTGGTTAGTATTTTTGCAGAAGCCTGATGACTCCTATTTATCAAATGCATTCTGTGAACAGTGATACTGCTGTTCACTTTTCTCTAGTGGTGAACTGCTGTGATCCAGCTAAAATCCAAGGCATCCCTGACACTACGTGTGTTTATTTTGCTGTTGATTGCATTTACTTCAAGTTTTTGAGGGGGCAATCTTGTATAACTACTATTTAGTTACCTGTATTGAAATTTAGTAGAGTTAGTGGAGGTTTTCCACACACACGCACCAAAAAGAGAAAAGAAAAAAAAAAAAAAGTGAAACAATTTTAGTGGTGATCATGTCTGCTAGCACTGCCAGAAGACAAGTTCAGTAGCTCATACCTGCCTGGGATTTGAAAGGCACTATTCCAGTCAGTTAGAAAGGAACTTCCTTGCTTTTGCTGGATTATCTTTAACAATCGTTGTTTGTGGAAAGTTCTTCTAGTTTTTCTAGTGTATATATATACAAACATAGAAAATGGAATAAAGAGAATCGTGCTAAGTCATCTGTATAGGGCTGTGTCAGATTACCTGATCAAATAGAAGCTTTGTGAACTCAGTGTACCAAGCAGTATTTCATGCAATGCAGAATGTGCTCTGTTCATCATTTCATAATAGATCACATGACTTGTACCACATCACAACCTTGTGCCAGAGCCTCTGCTTCCTGCTGCAATACTGCAAAAGGGTATTTTCCTAGACATGGCTTAAGGTGAAAGCAGGAATATCCTGTTTCTTCTATGTAAAGCTGGGGAAAACAGCAGTATAATACTGCTGGATACTGTGATATTCCAGGACCATTCTGGCCAAGCTGGAAATTCTGGTTACACTGGGCTCTGTTGAAATATCCAAGAGGTGACTCAGAGAAAAGAGAGTACTGTAGTAAAACTAGTAGCATTTTAACCAGCTCCTTGGAAGTTTCCATTCCCAGCATGACAAAACTCTCATTGATTCAGGAGTTCAGTCCAAGGACACTGGCATGCCTTACTTTTAGTGGGCTGAAACCAGGTGGTGAAATTGGAGTACAAAGTTATATACAAAGTAGTCTTGCAAGAGTGTCTAATAAACACACCTGCTTCAAAATTATTTTTCTGAGTTTTTGTCTGGAATAGCAAAACATGGCAGGTTTTATTGTTTTTGTTTATTTGTTCTGTTGTAGTATGAAGTTTTCTATTCTGTTTGAATAGACCACGTTCTTCTAGAGAAAAAAGATGCAGATGTACGTGGTGGCTGGTATTACGTGACACTGAAGGAGCAAGTACAGTCAATGTCAGCAAAATAAGGCATAGTTGATATTATCTACTGTACACTTTCTGGCAATTGCAAAAAATTCCAGCAGCTACAACTTATGTATTACTAGCAGTGTGTGAGTGGCAAAGCTTGTTTGATTCATTACTGGTGCAATCCAGAAGTAGCAGACATGTAGGTCTTGATGCTTTTCGTATCTAGCTTACAAGTCTGTCGTGTTCAAAATTTGCTCCCAGCTTTTTCATTCTTAGCTCTCTCCACTGAGCCCTTAGTTGGCATCAAAAATGCACAGTGCTACTTTCAGTGGCTTACCTGCTTTCCCTGGTCTCTACACAGCACTACCTTGTGCCATATGAGCATTTTTCATGATTAGCACTTAAAATTGTGTACATTTTAAAGCTACTGAAGAACGTAAGTTTTATTCACAGCCTTTACATGAATTACACAGACCTATTTGTCTGTCTTCCAAGAGCAGTTTAATATGTGTCTCAATTTAAGCAACTATGATCTAATTAGCCCTGAATCATAGTGAATGCCATTTGCACATCACTTTTTTTTTCAGCTACCACTGATCCAGATCAACATGTTTGTAGCTAGTTTGCATACATGTATGAAAACAATTTAATCTTTTATTTAGATTTCTAAATAATTCAGACATAATTCAGACTGAGTAACATTTTGTTGCAGTCTTCAGAGGGAATCCTACACGCAGAGGCTTTGGTAGCAGAAGTATAGACATACAAGGCAAGGTATCTCACGTAACTTCCAGTTCTAAATATAAGTAAGATTATTATATTTTTGAGGGTCGGCATTCCAAATTACTTTGTATTTCTCAGCAAACAACACAGTGCTACCACAGTCAAATGTAGAAAAACAAGATTATTCACATGTTTGTGAAATCATTTGAGACCTGTGTTGTCAGGAGCTGTGCAATACTTTGTGGATGAATAGATACTAGGCAACTTGGAGGTTAGTTATTTCTGATCAGTATTCCTGTGAAAATGGAATGTAAGAAGGAATAACATGTTACAGGAAGAAGTTAGCTGTGTTAAGAAAATCGTAAACAAATACAGCTGCGTAAGCTGTGGTTTTTCCAGTTCACTGAGTGTAATAAAACCAACCAAACAACAACAACAAAACCATCAAGAAAACAGAATAAAATAAAACAGAAATAACTTCACAGAATGACGTAATCATAGAATATCCTGAGTTGGAAGGGACCCACAAAAATCACCCATCCAGTCTAAGTCATGGCTGCACACAGTACCACCCCAAACCCATACCTTATGTCTGAGAACATTGTCTGAACACTCCTTGAACACTGTCACGCCATGCCTGCTGCCCTGGGCAGGCTGTTCCATGCCCACTGCCCTGTGGTGCACAACCCGTCCCAATCCCCATCTGCCCTCCCCTCACACAGCTCCATGCCGCTGTCACACAAAGCAGAGCTCAACGCTGCCCCTCCGCTCCCTGTGAGGAGCTGCAGCCGCCATCAGGCCTCCCCTCAGCCTGCCCTGCTGTGGGCTGAACGCACCCAGGGACCTCAGCTGCTTCTCTTGCATCCTGCCCTCTACACTCTTCTCTGTAGCCCTCCTTTGGGTGCTTTCTAATGTTTATATGGCTTTCTTCTGTTGTGGCACAGTGCTGGAGGTGAAGCCACGCAGTGCAGCGCAGAACAGGCAATCCCTATCGTTGACTGGCTAGCAGCCTGATGTACCTTTGGCCTTTTTGGCCATGAGGAAACTCTGCTGACTCACATTTAACTTGTCTTTAGCTTGGCATCAACCCTTTCCATGTGGCTACTCTCCAGCCTCTTATCCCACTGTCTGTACGACTGTCCCTCCAGGGCTGATCCTTCCCAGGCGCTGAATCTGATGCTTGGTCATGTTAAATTTGTACGGTTGGTGATTGCTCAACCTTTAGTTTGTCAAAATCTCTCTGCAAAGCTACACTGCTCTGGAGGGAATCAAAAGGTCCCCCCTAATCTATTGTCATTCACAAGCTCATTTATTATGCATTCCAGTTCTGCATCAGGATCATTTACAACTGTGAAGAAAACTGATCCTAAAGTGGAGCTCTACTTCAAATTTTGGTGAAGCTGGATCATTTGTGAGTCTGATGAGTTAGAACAACAACAAAAAGAAGAGGAAAGAAATAAAAAGAGAACTAAACCCTCCTAAATATTTGTTTTTAATACATTTTTCTGATTTGGAAAATACTTGATTCTTAATTTACTCTTTTCATGGGGAAGAAAGGGAGACAAGAAGCAGAAGGTCTGAGCTTCTTAAATGGAAATTAGCTTAAGTGTGAATGAGCATGGATATTAAAGACTATTTTATGCTTACGATAATACTTCATGATGTTTGGGAACACGTTGCAAAAAAAAAAAAATAGAGAGAGGCACATTTTCAAAATTGTCTTCACCACAAGAACATGTTTCACAATGACAACAAATGTTTAAAAAAACTGAATCAGTGACCACTAGAGTCATTTGCAGATTTTATATAGAAGCACTGGGCAGAACAGATCCCCTCTCAAAATGTCATGTTGCCCCAGTGGTAGATCTGCATTTTTTATGTCCAAGAATATCCTGCATAGGCTCTGCTTTCTATTCTATTTTGGAAAGCCTTATTAATATTCAAGCTACGAGGGAGAAAGTCCTTCCACAGGTACAATAGTATCATGAAGATGATGAAAATAGTAGTTCTAGTGACATACATTTCATGGAGGAGGAAATAAAGGAAATGCCTGAAGTATTTCTTCCTTCTTGCTAGTTAACAGGTTTTAAGATCATTCTCTTACATTTCTTGTGCTTATTTTCACACTAACAAATAACAAACAAGCAAACAACAACAAAACAAACAACAGCAACAACAAAAGATAGACTGTGGTGGTAATTACTGATTTCTAATGGAAACAAGAATTTATAATATTACTGACATCAATAATATGCTCCATGTTTACAAAGGCAGTGCCTGCATTTGTTATAGTACTGTCAGTTATACAAGGCAACCACTTCTTC